CAATGGCAGCACAGCAATCTGAGCCTGGCCCCGATCAACACGTCACACAAGAAGCCAACACAAGGAGACAGAAGGGAAAGAGATGCAACTTCTGCTCTGCAATAGATGACTGCGAAACAGGGACAGCGTGCTTCAAACGTGGGAAATACATGTCGAAGTCCCTAATCCCACAGATGCAAGGTTTCCCACCATTGCTTTGAATGGCAATAAGCCACTGATATGGAATATTAACAATCACGATGGCACTTGTGAGTATTTTTAATGGCCTCGGAGGATGGACAGCGCTGTTTTTGCTATTTTCACTTTCAGTAAACTAATATTTAAATTATTATGGCTTTTATGTTGTCATTTTTGGGAAACAGAGAGCATAATATTGTGTTATCATAGATGTATTTGATCAAGAACAAGTGCGCCTGCTTCTCTCCCTGGGATGTACGGTGGCAAATATATTACTTCTTTACTTGTACTTCCTGTCCTGGCTCACATTATAATTTATATTTAGCAAACCAAAGCAAAAACATGACGCTCATAAGATGAAGAAGAGAGAGCAGGATGGGTATAGCGCCAGGATGTTGAACTTAAGCAGTGCTGGCATGACTTTGCTAAGTGAAAGGCATGAAACACGCAGTTCTGAGAGTGTTTATAGAAAGGAATGCCACGGCTTATATTTTGAAAAAAACACTGTCATACTGTAATATGTGTGGGTGGTTTATGTAGACGCTGCAGTTGTATAAATGAGCGTGCTTGTTTGGTTCAACGATCCCATCCAGCCAATCTGTGAAGAGCTCTGGTTGTTCCGAGCTCATAGACATTACTTTATGTCACTTCAGCGAGGATAAATCTGTTTTGGGTGAACATGATATGACTTTATACAATAAGCTGAAGTAAATGTGCCAGTGTACACTGACCACAACTCTCTCGCTAATATGAAGAATGTAAAATTGTATCCACTGTACTTTGCCTCTTATAGAAACGGTATTAATGATTAAAGATTCAAAGATCCGAAAGCATCCTCACCCATTTCCCTAACGGCTACAACAATCATTCAAATAAAATGCCAAAAAAGCTGATATGGACCCCAAAGGTAGCAGGAAGCCATTTCCCAAACAGCTCCAGTCTGCTGAGCAGCCAAGCAGAACAGATATCAGCTGAGGTGAACTCAAGTGTGTTTTATGTGCAGGTGTGTGTAGCAGCGGCGGCGGCAGAGCAGGAATATTTTCAGATGTCACACCCCTACAGTGTTGCCACGGTAATGAAGTCGTTCACAACAGGGAATTTTACTCCCTGCCAACAGTATCCTGAGCAGCATGGATATGTGTGTGTGTGTGTGTGTGTTTACCTGCAGGATGGCCACCTCATTGCGCAGCTGACTCTCCTGTTTGGTGGGGAAACGGAGTTTGTCGATGATTTTGATGGCAACGTCTCGGCCGGACTTCCTGTGCTTACCTGCGTGGAATAAAACCCCAATCTGAGAAATCTCACAAACACACTCAGCTGTTCCAGAATGTAATCAAAGCAACAAGTGGAAGAACCTGAATGTGAGAATTGGTTTTCATGGGTTTAAACACTGTAAATGTAATATTCTTCAATATTCTCGATTTCTGAAGCGTTGGTTAGACATCTGAAGAATGTTTCCAAAGTTTATCTTACCTTATGTCCTCCAGGATCCCCTTTTAATGGGAGCTTTTCTTTACCAACATAATCATTATTAACATATGTGTGTAAGCACTACTGTGTTCTACATCCTTATGGTCTTACTTTTAGTATCCTCAAAATCTAACCACATATCTGTGATATGGGTATGGTGTTGGCAAACACAACAACAGCCAAGCCTCAGCTAAGGAGTTTTGAGCTTGTGTGCTTGTGTGTGTGCGTATAATTTTTCTGTGATACTGGATTGGAAGAAGAGAGCAGAATTAAATAACTGTAGTAAGTGAAGCTGGCGCCCTGAGATGAAGCTGCAGTGATTTCTACTACAGAATCGTGTCTTTTTGTTGCATGTGGACCTGGCGGTCACAATTACTCCCTGATCTTATCCCATGCTTAAAGATATTTCTCAGGATTATTGAACTTTTTAAACATCGGGCACCACAGATGAAATTCCCAATTTTTTTGCAGTTTTATGTCGACAAACAAAATCAAATCAGGGAAAATCAAATTCCCTGCACTGTGTTTCACAGAGGTTACATTTCATCTTAATGAATCGGGCTCTTTGTGGCACGTTTTACAAAACCTTTTTCTGAAATGTGTTGCTGGCATCAATTTCAAAATGTGCTGATATTTTTCACTGTTTCAACTACGTAAAATGAATTAAATACATGGTTTTGAAATTATTATTTCTATTTACATTTCCTCGCTTTCGTGAAAATAGGGATGTAATTTCTTTTATTACTTATTAATGACAAACAACAGAAACGAAGTGTGATTAAGTTTCATGTTGCCCAACTGATTTTTTGTCTCTCTCTCTCTCTAAGTTAAAACCAAGTAATATTTCCTGTGTTTTTAGCTGTGCAGAGTCTCACAGACGAAGAATGTGTTCCACAGGAGAATAAAGTCACAGGAATTTAAAAAATACATTTACATGTATTGGAAATAGAAGATTCATTTTTTTTGTGCTGAAAAAGAAAACATTATGCATTTGGTGCAATGACAGCGTGTCTCAAATTCAGGTTTTACCTCCATACACAATGCCAAACTGTCCTGAGCCGAGAACCTCGTCTGGGAAGATTTGATACACTGAGTTGATGTCCTGGAAAACACAAAACACAGTCTGAGTAGCAATTCATAAATCATCAGATGGGGTCCAAGAAAAGGGTCAAATGGAAGTGAAATAAATGAGTGAGACCAGTGTAGCGAAGCCTAAACCCCCTGCCAAAGGATAATGGATGCAGGGAGAGGCTGAAGTTCAGGGTGTCCAAATCTATCAGCCCGTGGAGATAAAAGAGCTGGTTGCAGGGGCATGCCACCCTGAGGATGCAACTTAAGTTTAATAATTTGTCCTCAGTCTTTTTACAAATGGACACATTAGGAAATGCTTGTTGGGCGATGGCAGATGTTTTGAAACCAAGCATAACATATGCAGATCCAAAATGAGACGATAGGAACTAAAAAATAATCCTTTAGTCAAGTTAGCAGAGCAAACACCGTCCCCTATGACATCACCCATTGGTGCTTTTACTGAGGTGCTCTGGTGTTAACATCACAAGTGACTTTTACCAATTGGAATACAGAATAGGTCCATCCTGAAGCACGACCTTCTTTGGGATTCTGTTTGACTATAACGGGGACAACAACCTACAAAAGACTAATAATAAAAAGGATAATAAAAAATAAAAATCTTGAAACTACTGATTGAGACCATAACCTCATTCTCCTCATTGTTTCCTGAGGTCATAGATCAAATTAAGTGCCAATACAACTCATTTTAAAATCGAGAAGTTTCCCCCCCACCTGCTGGGAAAGAAACAATGTCTCAGTCTCAATGAACTGGTCCCACCCAACTTAACTAAACATTTATAGCCCTACACTCCGACCACAGCACTTAGGTCTACAAACCGACTAAGTTGGATGTTCTCTGAGCCAGGCTTAAATAGAGGTGACAGAGCGTTTTTGGTGTCAGCCTCTAATCTTTGGAACCACCTACCATTGCACGTAAGAGCTAACCCAGTCACTCTGTGATTTGTAAAATGCGGTTAAAAGCCTACGTATTCTCTCTGGCTTTCAGCTCTAGCTGAGCTGTATATCATAGCTTTTACTGTGTAAACCCTGTTTGTTGTTTTGATTATGTCTTACTGAGACTGTGTATTTTAGCACATATTTGTTGCTAATTTAGTCATCATTTGTATAGCTTGTATAGTACTTTCCTCTATTAAGTTTTTTGTTTTACATGTGCTACAGAAATAAACATTAACTTGACTTGACTCACATTTTCACACACAGGAGACACTGCAGGTCCTTTTTTATATAAAGTCTATGACAACAAGTTGTAAAACATTCTTATGCACTCTGGGTTATAAAACATACCTTTCTCAGGTTTAAAATAGACTGAAACTGCAGGTTTCTGTAATTAAAGTTTCAGGTCATGGTTAAGTTCCTTGAATGGAAAACTGCAATGAAGGAAAGCAAAGGGAGGCTCACAGAAAGTGGGTTGAACAAAAAAAAGTGAATGCATCAATTCATCACCTGGGAGAGAAGATTTCCGGAATTATTTTTTTGGTAGAGAAAGCCTACTGTGCACCTCTCTCAGTGTAACTACACAACGTCAGTGATCCTCCACAGCTTTGACACCAAAGCTGCAAAATATTTTCTCCTTCATTTGTCTGTAATTACGTCTCCTTTTTCTCCCCTGTTAGCTGACAGCCTAATATCACACCTCAAGCAAAGAGAACAGAAATACAATATTATAAACTTCCTCCCCCTTCCCCGAGCTCACTGCGTAATTACCATCGTCACCATGGAAACCGTTTGGCTGAGTGAGTAATCACAGTAATCTCCATTTGAGGTGTTTGAAGACGTGCTCACCTTGGAGACGGCGAGGTGCACGTCTGCATAGAAATGGGACTTGATGTTCTCTGCAGTTGCATTTACATGCAATGCAATGAATAGAAAAATGAATAGAATTTGCAGATATTGGAGCCTGATGTAAATCTTTTTGATGTAAATGTAGTGTTTCAAGCATAGTGACACGCTCTGGGAATCTCTGCAACATGACCCAGAAGTCTTCAAATGCAAATTAAGAAGAAAGTGACAGAAAGCAGGAAAAAAAAGAACTGGATGGAGGTGATTAGACTATGAACAGGATGTTGTGTTGTCTGTCAGAGGTTGAAGATGGGGACTCTGTTTATAAGTGTGGGTATACAAACAACATGTCCTGATGCTGGTTTGAATGCAGTGTCAGTTGGAGTGTCAGGAAACAAAGCATGAATGAAAGCATGGTGCTGATGTAACATCTAATCCAGGTTTGGGTCATCCATGTAAAACATTAGCTGTCCAATATCATCATGCCTAGGGGGACACATCCTACCACATGACTTAACTGACTGACCATTAGTGGAAGGTCGGGTGAAACCTCGGTGCAAAAATGTCTACCCGAAAATCTCAAATGTTCAGTCAAAGCAAGTCAGTGTCTCATTTAAAATGAGAGAAAAACACAATATGCACTCTTGCCTGATGAAGATTGTGACTTGCAGATCTTGAAAGAACACTGTCACTTTCTTTAACTCTTATTTACAGAGCAGGTATGTGCAAGGAAGTTTATTTGCCAGTGACATTCTGCAATTCAGTGTTTCTCAGCTTTATTACTTTGATCTCAAATGAAAATTGGTTGGCTCCCTTACTTTGTGACATCACTTTCCTGATGGTTTTATAGGCTAGTTTGAGATTAGTTAAGGAATCCTCATTGGTTAAGAAATTGTCAGACAAAAGTCATTACCCTCAAGTCTCAAAACACCAAGAAAGCAAAGGTGAAAATGCTCAGCACAAGGCTTCATGATATAACATAAGGACTTTACTAACCAGCGGGTGACATGGAGATAGACGGCCATGTCAGTAGTTTTAGAGGCTCTTGGTATTCTGATGTCGTCGATGTCATGGGTGCATGAATGTCTGAACCAAATTTTAAGAAATTCCACTCAACAGTTTTTATTCGCATAGAGATTTCATTTTGTCCTCAAATGCCAGAAAACACTTTACAAGAGAATTAAACCTTGTAATATGGTGCACGAAGAAGAAGCTTCCTTAAGCTACACCCTTGTTACAAGGGGTCACCACTGCAATGGATGGCCTTACTTCCTGATCTGGCTTTCCAGCTGGACTCAAACCACAAAGCTTTGGCTTAACAAGCAAATATGTTATCCACTACATTATGGAGCCACAGACTTTATGCAAAAGCAATCCAAAAATGTGTGTGTGTGTGTGTATTTGTATTTTTTCTCTTACCACGTTCTCCTGGATCTGGCAGTTGGAAACTGAAATACTGATTGAAATCTCCTCTGTTAATGAGAGACACAAGCAAGATTAGAATAAAAAAAAAAAACCCAGGATGACAAAAAACAGTGAATTAGCATCCTCCTGTTATTCTAGGGTCTTTACCTATCAATGTGAAGTTGACTGTTGTTGTGATTTTGCACTGTATGATTAAAAAAGCATCTGAGATAATATACATTGTGAAACACAGTCTTTCAGTTGTAATGAGATTTTTTTTCATCAACATCAGAAGGACAGATTTCAGCGGATGCACATCTCTCTGTGAAGCAAAAACAATAAAAACAGGGCATCTGTAAAAGGATATTAACTTGTTTACTCTAAGCCACACTTTTGGTGTGCATTAGAAATAAATATGTGATAAATGTGAACCAGTTAGCAATCTGCTAGTTGAGACACATTCTTTAGTCATAAAAGGTACTACGACCACACTGAAGTGTTAGTCATGATGGTTTGACGTCAGTGAAATGCCTGAAATATCTCTGATGGGTTTTGTGTGGGTGTTGTTGGCCCTGAATGGATCTGAGACTTTCTGGAAGAATTCAGTAGCAACATGGATACAAATACCTGAGTTGAAAGAAAACATACATTAAATTTGTGATTTATCTGTTCCAAATAGTCTCTGGCTGGAGACAAAGTGAAAACTGTGCTGGAAATACTTTAATGTGGTTGAGATAGGTGTGACCCTGTACATGTATACAGCTTTGAGACTTCAACTCACTGTTTCAATGAGTGGCTGAGATTGTCTGCTACTAGTTCATCACTTAATTTGTTGAAATCAAGTGGTTGTAACAGCTATGCAAGCACATTTCTATTTGAACTCCCTTTAAGCTTTTTGTTAAAAAGATAGAAAGAAAAAATCTTCAAAAAATGCTAACTTATACATGTAATATTAACAGGCCAATAATATTACAACAACGTACTGTGTCCACTGCGGTGGGAACTGTGGCAAATTCCTGTAGAAACCGCTGGCATCAGAGCATGCTGGATGGCCATTTCCCACATTCGAGCCACATCCTGCCCAACACCGCTGACCTGAAATCACAATTCTGGTACTCACAATTTGATTCAGTAAAAGGACTAGATGTTACAATCCCTGATAATACATTGCTTCAAATGGAGAAAATCTTGAAGGATGGCTGTTATGAGGAAAGGCAGCCCAGAAACTTCATCAGCGGCATACAGCGTTGTGTGCCTGAGCTTTCAGTCTTTTACCCAGGCTAATCTGCCATTTTTTCTTCCTTGGTTAGGTTTAGGGATTAGGGATCTGATCTAGATTATCATATTAAAATCTGGGACACATCGTCAATAGTGGACCTTAGATTCATCGGATGTTTCGGCCCTTATCACTAGACACCCTCATCTAAGGAGGCCCTGCCAGTGTGTCACTGGTTTATGTTAAATTGTTATTTTTCTTCTTCTTTCTTCTGTTTAGTTTTCTACAGTTTATTTTCTTCTATCTCATCACTGAAACTGAGAAATAATACTTACCTCTTTAACATTTATGGAGCCTCACTTCTTCAAAGGGATAGAAAAGGTGATAGAGAGAAGTAAGACAAAAGGGACAAGATAGGAGAGAGCAGAGAGGATAGCCGGAAGGGGGTCGCCCAATCTGGCTTCCCACACCTCCCTGCCAGATCGGGCTGTACGCTTTACCTCCCCACTGGGAAGAAGAGCAGAGGGGAGAAGAGCGGAATATTTTTCTTTTCTTTTCTTTTCTTCCTCCTTTTGGTTTCACTACCATGAGGTTAACTGCACAGTCCCCAGGAGGCCCTGAGACAGCTCTATCAGTCAACCAGCAAAATTTCTAATGTTATATGTTACCCTTTTGACGCCCCCTGTTGAGGTAGGCCCACCACGGGTTGATCAATCCTGGGCTTGTGTCTCGCAGTTAGCTGACTGCCTTAGCTGCCCAAGGCAGCCCTTTTTAGCCATAGCCAGTGACTGGTCCTCTCAGCAGTGTTAGCAAATTCTCTTATAGCCTGCCATTGCGCCTGTCCTCTGATCCCAATCTCTCTAAGCAGTTTTGCTGTTGTACTGGCAACAAAGCCCCTGCACCCCACTTCCACCGGGCGCACCTTGATCTTCCAGCCTCTGTCCTCTGCCTCAGCTGCCAAGTTGGCATACC